GAGTTATGTAGGGATAATGGAAAAATGGAAACTACTGTTTAGGGATCACGTGTCTACGTTAGGGTTTGAGGCTTGTGGTTTAGCATCCCCTTGGAGTGATTAGGATCAAATACGTGGAGGTATATTGGTGAGCGAAGCCAAAGCCCTACACCCCTAGTTCTAAACTCTAAAACGCTCTATTGTGTAGCTTTTTGTAGAGGGGTCAAGATTGCAGTCCCTTCTTCTGTACCCTGAATATTCAGGGCCGCACTGTGCTGGAGGCCCAAACCGCTGTCAAAGTTTCGACAACCCAGCAAAAACCTTCCTGTATCCCTAGGACCTCTGGGCGCAAATTTTGAGAAATTACAGTCTGTGTTTTGAGGCTTAATTGCCTTCTCCTGATAATCAACACCCTAAATCCCCACCACCCCCTCCTGATAGTCAATATTCCCCGCAACATGTAAAAGTACCATATCTCGAGTGCCGGAGGGCTTACTATTAGTGGGGGGGGCATTATCAGGCGACACCATCTAGGGTCTGAGAGCTCCCATAGCGGCTGCCATAGCGCTTTGAGGACTACCTTTTGAAGGCTGTTAGGGTGTCTTGGGGCCGTTGGAGGATTCAGATGCCCCATTACATGTGGATTTCAAGAATTGAGGGTTTGGGGCCAAATTAGCTATTCGGTTCAGCAGCTCATGGGGGCATGTATGAGCGCTTTTAAGTCTCTATCACCTATAATCCCTGTACAGGCCCTATAAAGCCATAAGATGCTTTTCATAGGGCCCCTACACCTACCCCAGCGAGGTTGTCAAAGCTGCAACCAGTTGTTTCCTTGTCCTTGTTCTTCTTGAACTGAGGCATTGATCCAGGAGTGACCCTCTTGCAGCCAGCCAGGTGTTCTCTTGTCTGTTACACTTTACACCTTCGCGGCTCTTTTTGCATTTTGGTATGGCCATTTAGCAAAGATGACAGCAATGTTGGATAGCTGTTCAAGACCGACATGCATGACAAAGGCCTCTTTTAGGACCCAGCTGCAAGGCGTGTCACGTCATCAAAGGTAGGTTCGTTGAGTCGCCACATGTTGAGGAAGTTTGGTGTTTTTCTTGAAGGATAGCTGTGGTGGGCATGGTATGAATAGCATGCATGGCTTTTCAACGCCACGAAGGACAACATGTCAGTTCTTATTCTGTGTTCTCGGCACCTGTACAGTTAGTATACCCCGCCAATTAGACGCATCAGAATCACCACCAGGGCTCACTGCCTGCGTGATAGCACTAATGCTAGGTAGGCGAATCATTTCAAAACACTCAAGCAATAGCCAGGCTATAGCCCATACCCGCCCAATAGTGACTACTGTAGAGAACACCTGCTTTTCGTAGTGGACCTAGCTAGATTAAGGAGTTTTGACTTAACGGGTACTAACCCTATATACACACACATAGAAGTCATGGATATAAACCATATAGAACCCCGTGCAATGGAGATATGATTGTCATGAATTGTTCTATCACAATTGATATGGTGCTTCCCCAAAATAGGGGGACCCCAAATATAGACCCCAAAAGACTATAGTCCTTATTATGGAGACCCCGGACTGGTAGCCCTAATTTTAGGCAAGCCCCATATCTTTATGATCAATCTTTTGGGCTCCCCAGCCATCCTGGGTTGAAGTCTTTGCACCCAGCAGGAAACCCCTTCAGCCCATGGCGCAGGGCTTGTTAAGGGTTTAGGGTTTAGGGTTCAGGATTTTTAGGGTTAGGGGTTGTGGGTGTGTCTTCCCGTAGACGTCATAGGCTACTGTCGGCTTCTTCTGTCAATTAAGGGTTTATAGTGCCTCTGAAGTAGATGAAATATGGCTTTGGGTACATTATAATAAGATCCCCATATACCCCATATTCCATCGGGACTATAGGGTTTAGGGGAGTTGCAGGCGCAAGGAGAACCTGGCTTCAGGGCCTGGCTTGCCTGCATACTCGGAGAGATAGGGTTTAGGGTTTATGGTTTAGGATCTAGAGGTTAGAGTTAAAGGTCTCGAGGCTTAGGTTCAGGGTCTAGACGTTAGGGTTTAGGGTTTAGGGTTAGAGTTGTAGTCGTGACCCTCATACCCTTTGTGGGAGACTGAGGGGGCTTACAAGTCAGCTACAAGTACCACTCCGATTGCAAGCATCGTAAGCCCTATATACACCTCTAAACCTTATTTAACCCCTATAAACGGGTTGTCTTTACCCAAGCTTTTTAAGTAGGTTACAGTGGGTTTTGTCTCGTCTCACGGACGTTTGTTGTTTGCATAAACTGGGGGGGTCCCGTCTAAGCAGTCCTTACAATGAGGATTATAGCACTTTGGGGTTTGAATTGGTGTCCTCAGTTTATAAAAACCTTAAACCCTAAACTCTCATCCGTGCAATACGAACTGTTTCAGAAGAACTCCATCGTCAGCCGCATAGGGATGAGCTTTGGACCCCTGTTCCATGGGAGGATGGGACTCAACCTGTCCAACCTTCCAGCACATTTTCATAGTACAGCTCTCCTAAATTTCCTAAAGAAGGGTTTAGGGTTTAGGTGCAGAAAAATATGAGGGTTCAGGGTTCAGGTGCAGAAAAATACATTAGAAACCTGCCAAGATACCCGTTCCAGCCCGTGCGCAATGAGCGGGGCCAATTTGCAGCTTGGCCGTGAGCAGAGGCGGAACCGGCAAGTTGAGAAAGATGGCGTCAAAGTTCACACCTAAATAATCCCTATATAATCCCTATATAATACCAATATAATACCTATATAAATAAACCCTATATAATCCCTATATAATACCCACCTGCTCCGAGGAAGGGACCCCTCTTCTGGGGCTAATTTGACTGGGCTCCCTCAGGAGTAGCAGCTTCTTGTGGTGCGTATCTTATGGCAGAGATGCTGTGGAAAGGGTTTGGGAACAGGTGTGGGTTCTCTAAGCAATGCTTAACGAGGCCCAGTAGGGAAAAGGGAATGAAATAATCCCTATATGAGATATTCTTGTATTCCCTACAAAGAACCACTAAGCAGTAAAACGCGTAGACAAAGCCTGAACCCTAAACCTCAGGTCAATATCATCCTGGTGCGGTCGCCATTTAGAACGAAGCGGCAAGAGCAGCTCGTCACTCCTTGATACAGACCCCTGGGAGGATCTGGAACGTAGGGGCCCACAATACAGTACCCAGGGTGTCGCGTAAGCATGGCTGTATGGCTATTGTTCTGGGTTTAGGGCTATTATTTTGCATACTCTTGGGATCTCTTGGGGTTTAGGCAGAGGGTAATTCTTAGCACTTGTGAAGGGGATCTGCTTTCTTGATCCCAGGGGTCTGGGGAGTTGTACCAGCTTTGCAGGAGCTTTTGGGACCAAGCGAAGCCAGGGTCTGATAATTCCAGGGTTTAGGGTTTAGGGATTGGGTTTTAAGTTTCAGGGTTTGGAGTTTAGCGTATAGGGTTCAGGGTTTAGGGTTTAGGTTTCGGGTATAGGGCAGGAGCGTTTGATCATGGATCTCTTTGGAGCATGTGTGGTCACATTAACTTTCAAAATACCGAGGAAGCTGTTTCAGGAGTTCAAGGATGAGATCCTGTTCATGGGCATCAGCAGCTGGGAGGACTGCCGCATCTTTGGCTTGCTACCTTACACTGTCAGGGTTGGCCAGATTTCCGAAAGCTGCAACAGTTGAGAGATGTCGTGTCTACCTTTCTCTACGCAGGAATCTTGGCGTCTGGCAAGAACTTGAAAGGCTTTCCTGCCAGACATACACCAAGACCCAAATGTGGATCCAAGCCGCCCAAGATGTTGGAATGGGATTTTGTAGCAAGAGGAAGCGGAATTGCATCTATGTGTTCTATGCATAAGATCCTCTTGGAGGCGTGCCTCCAGTTCGTAGAAGTTTCATGGTAGTTTCAGATTTCCATGGATATAGGGACCCCAAATAGACCTGCAAATACCGTAGTTGCTATTCTGGGTGGCCAAACAAACCGGCATCCCTAACTTTCGGAAACGCCCAGCCCCAAGGATTTTTATATCCAGCTAGTGTCCATATAAGTTTCCTTTGTCTTTTCCATTTGATTCTCCATTACTGGGATAACAAAATCCCAACACTATCCCTAGATGACCTCATATATCCCTTGTAACCCCTTTAAGGTAACCCCCCAGTTCTCAGAAATACCCGTATCTCAAGGTATAGTTATAAGTTATAGGCTACCCTCAACCCTAGTACAACCCTAATCCTTCATCCCGAATGCAGAAACCTCGACCTGAAGGATCAGGGCCCGAACCCGCGGCTAAGGGTATAGCTAAGGCCCATGCTCCAATTCAGAGGCCGAATAGATGCCAAAATTTGCCGGGGAATTTGGAGAATCACATGGAAAATGAAACGGAAAGCTTGTTATTGCGGTCTATATTGGGGTCCCCCTATTTGGGGAACTACCATCAACTACCATATGAAGGGGGGTTGTTTATTCTGAGTTTTTGGTGAGCACCCTAGGAATATTGGTGAGTGTATATATTTCGCGGTCCAACTTGGGGACAATACATACAGACCACGATCGAAATGGCTGTTTATTACCTCAGGGTTTAGGGCTTCATACAGAAGATGGTCCGAAGATAAGCTCATTTCAAGCTTTTGGAAGTATTCTAAACCAGACGGCAGGACTTCCCCTTACCGGCGCCGAATCCCTTCTCCGAGTCCTTTCCGTGTCTTGGTGGGTAGGCTTTGGGCTCCAAGGGTTTGAAGGGGACGGGTTAGGGTCTCAGCTTCCCCCTAAGATGTGGCACCAAGATCTCAAGCATGTTGCCTGACATATGAAGGCTTCTGGCAAAATTCATGGGTGGGGTGTGTTCAAGGTTCGCGGAAGAGAATATGTGGCCTCGGAGTGAATTCGAGGCCCTCACTGCTCAGATCTTATGGCGGGGTTCCTCAATATTATGGATCCCATTCTTGAAGGCTTTCCTTGCAAACTCCTGACCCGAGGCATGCCCATGTGGTTCGTGGCGCCAAGTGGTGCTTTTCCCAAAGCCCTTATCCCTGAAACCCTAGACCCTGGGGAGGGGGCGACTTTCGAAAGCAGCTCCCTTGAATTTGGTTCGCATGCATAGGATTTCACCTAAACCCCAAGCCCCAAACCCCAAGCCCTAGACCCCCAGGGGTTTAGGGCTTAGGCTGTTAAATCCCCCTTTCCCCTAATATGAAATGTGCCCTCCCAATACACAAGGACTGCTATGGGAAAATTGAATGTTGGGGGGTCAGAGGTGTTGAATATTGGTATGAGGTGCTTACCCCTAAGATCAAACCCTGCAAAGCTTCCCCCAATAAACCCTCACATTATTTCCTAGGGATTCACTGCAAGGCTCGGAAACCTATGGGTACAATTCTGAAGTCCTTGATAAGGGTGGAGATTATTCAAGGGACCAAAGCCCAAAGGACAAACCTCAACGGTTGCTGCCTACGGCGTTGAAGGACTTCCTGCACCGCTTAGGATCCCGAAAGAATTACAATACCATTATTGGCCCCTAAACCCTCAACCCTAAACCTATTGGGGCTACATAGGGTGGTGCAAGGCGGCCTCCAGCCACAATAGCTTAGCAAGCAAACCCTTAAATCCTTCAGCTGAGATGCCGCGGTGCAATACTTAGCAGCGGAGTGGGTAATCTTCAGTTTTTTCGGGCAGGGGCAATCACTTTTTTGGGGGGCCAGGAAACTCAACAGGTAGGAATACACTTGACCCTGTACGTTTGGTACCAATGTTGTTCTAAGCAGGAAATCCCCTGCAGATATCCTAGCAAGCCGGAAACCCTACACTCCAAGCCTCAGACCCCTCGAAATCCTCTACCTAGCCTCAAAGCCCTACAACCACCTCAAGGCGTGACAAGTTTGTGGGCCTCTTCCCAGGCTTCCTCTATATGCATAGGAATCCGGCCCCTAGGCATTCGTTTGGTTCAGGGTTTAGGAGCATGTACCACATGGGCCCAGGATTTCAAGGTGTTGAGTTTGGGCGTTTAAATTCTTCCTAAAACCTAAACCCTAATCGTTAATAAGAGGGCTTACTAGACTGTTGTTTCAGGAAGAGCCTCCGATTTTGGTATGTCTTCTTGGGGTGGGAAGCAGGTCATGTGGGACGATATGAATCTGGACTTCCCCAGGACCCCTATGTAGGAATGTCCTTCGACTAACAATAGTAGTGATACTAGTACTAGTGGTAAGAGTAGTAATGATAGTAATCACCGTAATAATGGCAATAATAGTACTGATAGTAGTAATAGTCTAATATGTAACAAGAGTAAGCAATAATAGTAAGAACAGTAATACTCATAGTAGCAGTAATAATAGTAGTACTAAAGCGTTGTAAAGGGGACCAAGCCGGGCAAACATTGAGAGTTTGCCTTCTGTCTTAACAGATCATGGTGAACAGGCGGCAGCATTTGAGGTGTAGCCTTTTAGGGTTTCGGGGCTTAGGATTTACACCAAAAAGACCTATACCCTCAACAAGACAACCCTAGACCCCAAACCTTCAGGTGCACCCCACTTGCAGTTAAAATCAATGTGAAATCCTTAGGGTGTTTGTGGGCGAAGGCGGAAAAAGCGGGTATGTAGGGGGCTCTAGCTTGAGCAACAACCAAGCGATTGCCGGACTAATTGTTTCCATGCATCGTACTTCCGTACAAGCAACAGGCAATGGTGCCCATGTATTCTTACCCAGCCTTGCAAAATGGAGCTCTTTACACCATCCCACTTTCCATGTCATTCTCCAGGGTTTTCCCACGTGGTTCTCCATTACAGGGGTAAGATCCCTACACTTGGACCTTAAACTCTAATATCCCTACACAGTGGTAGGCATCCTCCGGATCATAGAGAGTCTGGCACCTTGTATGGACCCTGCTCCTTCGGGTTTGGGGTTGAGGATTTAGGGTTTAGGCTTCGGGTTTAGGGTTGAGGGTGTCCCTGTTCTGGCACGATCCTTGAGGAGCAGGGACCCCGCGTCCTTCCACCAACAGAGAACAAGACGACCAAGGTTTCAGGAGTCTTTCCAAAGCCACCACCTTCCTGGGGGCTAGGAATAAGGGAATACAATCTTTATATACTCCGCATAGAAAATATTCCTTCATTCCCTACTGAACCTCAGTGGGCACTGTAGGACCTCATCCTCCTCCTTTCCGGGCTTCCTGAAGCACAGGTTCTCTAAATCCATACACGAAGGCGATGTAGGGACTCAACTGAGCTGCAACCGGCCTACCAACCTATACCCATGTATAGCTCATCATGGGTAAGAAGAGCGTTTCGTAGTATACCTACCCGTTGGCCTTTGGTTAGCTAGGAATGAAGGAATGGATCCTTATAGCAGTTCCTACATAACCCATTATAGTCGTTTCCATGTTCTTCTCCATTCCTTCCTTCCCAGCTAACCAAAGGCCAGTAAACCCTGAACCCTAGACCCAAGGGGATGGGCCCAAATCCGTCAACAACAAACTTTTCTGAGCTAATGCCTCGCCTCTGCAAAGCCCGGCCAAGCCGGGCGGCAGCGAAAAAGACACTAGCCACACTCTGAATTCCGCAAAGGGGCTTACATAAGGGATTACGTAGGGGAGTATTAGATTTTATGTGTTATCAAGGGGGATACTTGGGGCTTAGAATATCGCTCACATGAAAACGTTTTGGGTTCAGAGTTTACTTATTTCATCGTTTGGGCTTAGGACTTAGGGCTAATGGTTTAGGGAGAAGTTTCCAGCAGAGGCAATACCTTCAATCACATAAAACACATCAATTCAGCCAACAATGATTCTTCCTCGCACAGAACACATCCCGAAAGCCCAGACCGCCTAAACCCCTGTTAGGTCCTGACCTATCCTTTTAACGCCAGGATTCCGTGATCTGCAGGCACAAACAGAAGCTGAACCGAAAAACACCAACCTTTGATTAAGGAGACGATCTTCCCGAGTCACGTGAAGCTCATCTTGCTGTCACAATCCGATTTCGCACTGCCGGGATTGCCGGGGCGACCATCGCAGGCTGCAACAGAATCAAGACATTAGAGTCTCAAAAAAAGTTGGCTAGCGATGAGGGAAACAAAGCATGGAGCATGACATGGGGACTGCGTTATAAAAGGTTTATGGGACTGCGGCGAAGGGCCTGTTAAGTCAGAAAAGGGTTTCGGAGTGTATTTTACTGGGCAATACTGGTAGATGTTTCGCCTTACACGTTACACCATGCCCAATCAGGATACTCAGAATATTACCGTATAGCTTCGCGTATCCCGTATCCCTAGCGTGACTCCTGGCCTGATAATCGACATTCACATTTGTCTTCAGGGTAATGGTTAGGGGTTTAGAGTTTTAGGGCTTAGGGTTTAGGGTAATAGGGACAAAGCCAAAAGAACATGGTAACAAGGCGAGCAGCCGTGAACGAAAGAAGGACACAGACCCCCCGGGAGAATCTAGAAAGTGGAGCCCCAAACGTGGTATCCTTTAGGTAGTGCCCTCGCCCACACACAGTGAGCACAAACACACCCACAAATAGGAGCGCAACAAAAATGCTGGTTTTGGGGGCCTGATGTAATTTCATACCTCCCCACCTAAACTACTGTCTGTCTGCACTCGTGGGCATTATGTCGCCACATATGCCCCCCTAAACCCTAAACCCTAAACCCTAGAAATCTAACTACACTCCACGTCTACACCTGATGATATTTGTTACCTGCCATCTCCTCTGCACCATTTGCTGAAGGGATCATGAGACCTTGAAAATGTTTAGGGTTTTAGGGTTTAGGGTTTTAGGGTTTTAGGGCATAGGGTTTAGGGTTGAGACCTCGAAAATTTGAAGTGCGGGGAGGGGCCTGGGTCAGGCTCGGTTGGTGGGCCAGGCCTGGGGCGGCTGGGGGGGCGGCTTTCCATATTTAAAAGCAAACCCACCTACTCACAGGTTTCCGAACCAGACATGAACATTGATTTTTGATGCTCGTATTTGTGCTCGTATATTCTAATTTGTGACGGTTGTTTGTGCTTTCCGCTTTTTCCAATGTGTGCTTGTTTTTTTGTGCTTTTCTGTTGCTTTTTTTAGTGCTTGTATGTGTGCTCGTCTTTTCTAATTTGTGTGTGGTTGTTTTTGTGTTGCTTTCCTCTTGTTTTTTGCTCAAGGTATTTTGGAATTGGTGTTATTTTTTTGTGCTTTTCTGGTGCCCTTTATTTGTGGCTCGTATGTTCTAATTTGTGTGTTTTTTGTGCTTTCCTGGTGCTTTGTTTGCTCAACGTATTTTCTAACATAATTTTTTTGTGTGTTTCGTGTTTTCTAATTCCCGGAAGAATTTTAAAACAAATCAATTCAATTTCAAATTCGCGGGAGCCCGGCAGCTGCAGCTGTCCTGCCTCAGCTGGAGCCTGCTGGCGGGAGCGGACCGGAGAAGCATGAGCCTGAAGCTGGATGGGTTCAGCTGCAGCTTTGCTGCCACTATACAGTGTGATGACACATAGACCCACGTAGCGAGTTATCATATGAAAGCCTAGGCCCACTTCTGTTTGCCTGGGTGGTCTCCCTGTAGAAATGATGTACTGGTGAACATGGGTCTCCCTGATTATGGGGAATGCCAGATCTTAAAGGGGAATGAAATTTCATTTCCTGGTGTTGCTTTTGGTCTGTGTATTTAGTAGCCAGAGCCTTTTTGCACAGTTAGTGGGAGGGGGCACTACCTAAGATATCCTATACTAAACCCCAAACGTTTAACCGTTCCTAGGGATCATTCAGGGTCATCTAGATCCAGAAATCAGAGGGAGGTGCTTCCCACAAAGGTGGGAGGTCAGGACACCGTCCGGCGCCTAAATATGTACCAATATTGATGGGTCTTAATTCCTTGTATAATGACGGTATAAGGTATTTCGCATGAATCTGAAACTGATATGGGCAATTATTATAAGGTACTCTCTATAAGCCCATATATCATCCTAGATTCCATTTCATGTTCTATTTTGTCCAGTATTAGGCCTCAAGTAGGGCCCAGTTTTGAAGCCAGCCAAAAGTCAACGTCAGCATGCGAGGAGCAACGCGGGGTTCCCAAAATAGCGGTACCTATAAGTAATGCAACTGTGGACCCCAAAAGCTTACATAAGCAGGCTGACGCTGCTTTTGCCTGAAGATTGGTTCCTGATCATCCCACTCGGAATTATATCGTTCTTCATGCAGACGATAAAAACTATCATTCCTTAACCGCCGACCATCACAACAATACCACCCCTGGAAACATCACCAGTCATCCCCTGCAGGTTTCTAATTCTTTTTCAGCTCAAGGCCTCCTATCTTCCCACCCCAAGCCCACCCTAGCGTTTCCACAGCCGTTTGAAGAAAAAACTTAGGGGTACTTGGAAATAATCTTTACATTTTGCTTATTATAATCCTAAGGAACAGCAGAAATATTAATTTTTGCTAGGGTTCCAAGTTCCCGTAAAACCTTAAACCGTTAAACCCTAAACCTTTAAACCCTAAACCCAATGAAAAGGGCCAGGGGCTGAAATTTTGGGTTGAGGTTGCATCTGCCACTTCTGCCGAGGGGAATGCGGATTATAACGCTTTGGGGATTGTAGGGTTTGGGGTTTAGGGCTTAGGGTTCAGTGTTTAGGGTTTAGGGTTTAGGGTTGGGGTTTTCGGATTTAGGGTTTAGGGGTTAGGGTTTGGAGTTTAGGGCTATACTGGGTTTCCAGAAATTGTTTAACGAGGAGCATGGTGCCTAAAAAAAGGCAGGAAGGTGTCTATTGGCTTCGTGTGCCATCCCCATACGGACCTATCCCCTTGCATGGTTCCCATATGATTGTGACATCATTCCATGTCTTGCAGGTGTATATGTATATATATTTATAACCACAGACCAAAGACCCTGAATCCTCAACCCTAAGGCTAGCTTTGATTTGAGGAAATACCGGGATGACCATATCCAATGTCAAGAGCAGGTGATTTTGCCGGCTCATGGTTTGTTGTTCACACTCTGGGCTGTCCTCTGCAATGGATCCGCTAAGTCGAGTGGGATTTTGAGACCCTACATCCACCTATCCGCGAAGGAGTTGCTGATGTGGTGTAAGGGCAGTGCAGTTGCTAGCCCAGGTTAGCCAATGCTCAGTCAATTAATCTAGGGGATGTCCCGGGCTGTTGGTTAAAACTTGATTGGTCCGTACACACACGCTGTGCGGATGACAGGGCGCGCCGAAGAAGTACGATTTCACCTTTTCAGGCTCAGACCAGGATGTGGCGCAGGACTGCCTGCAGAGTGTCATTGCGCAGATGGTTTCCGCTGTGAGATGATCAGCTGGACCCCTAGCAAATGTCTAGTCGACTGAGCGGTCAAACAGATGATGTCAAGGTAGCGGATTACACAGCCAATAGATAGATGAGATTGATGGCTCAATTGCAAGCTGCTTTCAGCTCAATGTCAAGACTTCGTGCGTATGCCGATCTCTTCAGTATGAAGTGTAGCTGATGTGTCAGACGGTCCATTGCAGTTGGAAAAGCTTCTGCTGCCACCCCAGCCCTTGCGGGTTTAGACATCGAAAGGCCCAACAACTTAAAGCTGCTTCGCATCCGTTAAAGGTCTAGACCTGCATGTACAGACCTCTGGCAATCTTGCGAAGGTCTCCAGAGCCACAACTTCTGGATCTAAAAACAAACGCGCAGACGCCGATCATCCCAGCATTCCTGAGAAATTCAAAGCCAAGCTGCAAATCGCAGAGGCTTGCTTACAGGGACTCTGACTACCTTCCCTGAAGGGTGTTTCCACGCACTTGCAGTCCCTTTCTGCTATTTGGTGCTGCCTTGTCGCTGCTTAGAAGGGCTGGAAATGGAAATTAGCTAAGTGCTTGGTAACTAGGGTTATCAGGGGTTCTCTGGCTTTAGAATCAGAACTAATAACCTTTTTGGTATTTCCCCGACCATCCAAGTACTAGCTGAATTGTATTGTGGCCGTCAGCGATGAACCACTGAGTCACAGCTTTTGCAGTCTATTGCTATCCGTGGGTATGATTACAGCTCTTTGATGCAGGACTGTGTGGGCTGGTCATCCTTCGCAAAGAATTGGACCTTCGCAAAGCAGGCAGCACAACCTGATGCGCAGCATGAGTATATACTTTAGGTTCACGGGTTCGGGCCATGGATTTCGGTGACCAAAGCCAGGATCCCGTTTTGCAGATAGCCAGGGTTGGTATTGGTGGCATTCCATTGCCAGCTTATTTGGCGTTAGGACATGCCAGATCATGGCTGCATCCGGGAACCTCTGGACAAAATGAAGCAGCCTCGCAAAAGGTCTGTTCCGTCGCCGATTCCAGTAGCTGTTGGGTTACTCATAATATCCTTGAGCCCTGTTTCGAGGAACTGGTCGATCGCGTGCAGTTAGCTCGTTGCTTGCTTCGCTGTGTCGGGACAGTTCCTGGCAGCAAGTCATCAAATAGCCCAAGCTTTTGTCAGTTCTTGCCAAACCACTCTGGCTAGTTGTGTACTAGAGCACCACCAAGTAGTAGCAGAATGAAAGGAACATGTTTATTTTGAATGGAGACCCTACTATAATCACCACTACCCCTTCTTGTCATTACAAGTGGTGCGGTCCTAAGAAGCTGTTCTATTTCCGTCCTGCAGACTAGCATTGCACCTCATGTTGCCCTTTCAAAAGGACAGCTGTCATTCTGTGACTTTTTCGGGGGTTCCTTGTTTGGTGGTGAACTGCCCGTGCCTGTTGCTTGTAGCAGGGAATGGAAGAAGCCAAACATGCAAACAACGAATTGGGGATTATGTAGGGCTGCTTTAGGGGTCCAGCTCTCTACTCCCTAATGGCGGTCAACATTACTAATAACTCGTAAGTCCTGTGCAGTGGTTTCTGAGACCTCTCAACTTGTTTTGGGTTCCCCTGATGTTTTTTGAGGCCGCTATGTGCCTTGCGTTGCCCACTCAATGCTGCGTGATCAAATTTGCCTCTACATAGTCATCGGTTTTGTCAGGCGGGGAACGGGAAGGATCCCAGATCTGGAACAGAGTCCAAAGCCACAGTAAGTTCCTGAACCCGCTTCAGAAGGTAGACCATAGACCTGAGAGGTTATCAAAAGCATGCTCCCCTTTGGGGATCCCATTATGTTGGGCTCCTAAACGGTTGGGCACCCAAGAAAAGCATATTCTTTGCAACTTGCCATCTCGTTCATCCACCAGTTCCTTTCCCCTCGCAGACTAGCTGCCAGTAGAGAAGGGAGGAATGCATCCCTGTAGTCATCTCCTCCCCTAATATAAAACCCCCCACCCCCGGAATAGGGTTTAGGTTTTAGGGTTTAGGGCTTAGGGTCTACAATATATGGGCAATATTCGGGGCAGATATATATATATATATTGTATTATATATATGTATATATATATATCCCATTCCTCCCAGTATTGCAATAATGTCTATGTTCCTTTCCACTCGGTCATTCCTCACTAACAGCAGCAAGCTCAACCCCAAGTCCCTAATTCCAAATCTTTGTACATATGTATATATATGTATGTGTACATACATATCCAGATATCCCTAAACACCCCTCGATGACTAACCCTAATCCCCTAACTCCCAAACCCTAGGCCCTATAACCCCGTAACTCTATAACCCCTAACCCTAATCCCCGAACCCAAAACCCTAAACCCCATAGCCCTAAACCCTATAACCTTAAACCCTAAACCCTATATTTATATAGTCCCCCTTGAGTAAATGGAATATGGCTTTGGGTATATTATAGCAAGATCCCCATATACCCCATATTCTATCTACCGAAGGGGCACTATAAACCCTAAACCCTAAATCCTAAACCCTACATAGTAGTTTCCATGTTCTTTTCCATTTCCCTATATAGCCTCCAAATACTATAGCTGTTTCCATCTTCTTCTCCATTATCCCGATATGACCCCACCCCCCAAACCCTAAACCCTATAACCCTATGACCCCTTTGAACAGACAGCAAGACAGGCGCTCGAAGTTATGTGCGGAGAGCTCCGCATGACGGGAGTCCTGGTGGCGACGAAGAACAAGCAAGGCAGAGCCCTGGCTCTTAGGGGTTTGGGCTATATGGGATTTAGGGTGATAGAGGCTTAGGGCTTTAGGGTTATAGGGTAATAGAGGCTTAGGGCTTTAGGGTTATAGGGTAATAGGGCTTCAGGGTCTAGGATTTCGGGCTTAGAGCTCAGGATTTAGGATTTCGGGCTTAGAGCTTAGGATTTTGGGTTTTACGGTTAAGGACTTGGAGTTTAAGGCTTAGGATTTAGGGATGGCTACGGCTCAAGGGTTTTGGCCCGAGCCTGGTTCCTGGAGTGTCATTAGTGTCTATGGATTAGATCTAATGTCGGGCAATGGACAAGAGCTGGCGTTACCATCCCCTGCTGGGAGTCCAGAAAGCAAGAGGATGCGTACCCAAACTGGAAATCCAGATGCTGAGTTAGACGAACTGATTCCAGCCAATGATTATTCGCGATCTCTCAAGGAAAATGGTGCTCCGGAATGGGCACTGACTCTCCATGAGGCTTTCCAGGGACAACTGGATAGATGCGTTGGGCTTGTATCAGGGTTCCATGACAGACTGCAAGGGCTTGAAAGGCAATTCCAAAGCGATCGGGCAACGAGGGCAGAGGAGAGTGCGAGGATTGAGCAGCGACTCACCCAGCTGGAGCAGTTAGCAAAGGGGGGTCAAGCCATGCCTGCACCGCCAAGGGTATTCTCAGATACCAGTAAGCGAGGAGAGTTCTCAGCTGTGCCGCCGCCAGAGAGCTGCCAAGTTGGGAATATTACTAGTCAAGCAACAACATCACTAGGCCAGTCTACTGATTACAATCATGTGGTCATTGGCGGATGGCCAGATGGCTCTAAGAGAGACACCATTATTCAGCAGACTCAGAAAATCCTGGCTACACACACCCCAGCTCTGGAAGTGACGGATCTCATTGTGTACGGGAAGAGAGCTTCGTCATGCCACCTTTTCCTCAATCCAGTTGAACATGCAAGGGCACTCCAGCGATATGAAGCTATCAGACAACAACTTCACGACCGTCATCCAGCAGAGGGCCACCCTAACGGACAGAGAGTGTGGTTCACTGCTTCGAAGCCGCGAGATGTCCGCATGCTACACAGACGCACGATGGGAGCCAGAACTCTTGTTGAGACTTTCCTGCGCAAAATCGGCAGCAGCCTAGAGATCGAGCCTGAATGGAGCAAGGCGTTGATCTGGGTTGATTCCAAAAGGATTGCAGCGGCAGAGTGCTCCACCTTGATGCTCCCAAGCAATGGACACAAAACCATCGCTGTTTCCACAGATAGCTCTCAACCCCAGGCTCTTTACCACTTCAATGTCACTGCCTTGTCAAACCTAACAGGTGCCGCTGAGCAGGACATCGAGCAAGCTATCTTCAATCAGCAGCCTTGAGAACTCCCACAAGGGATGACCGCCACATCGTCCCTCGATGCTTTGCTCCAGATTTGCACCTGGAACACGGCTGGTAAGGACCATGTGCAGGCCGCAGAATTCATCTTCATGGACCACTATCCAGAGGCTCTCTTCTTCCAAGAAGTCGGTCGCCTACACTCAGACGCCGCAGCTTCGTGTACAGGTGGTGTGCATGCTCAGGAGTTACGTGAAGTATCCCCCAATCCTGATTCTGATCTTTCCTCGTACAGGGTCTTCCTTGGTGAGTCTGAATCCTACTTGTCACAGGTGATTGCCATTGATGGTGATATCGTTCTAAGCGTGCAAGGCACCCGTATTGGCAAGAGATTCGTGGCAGTGAGATTCAGGCATTCACTTTCTGGCCAAAGGATTCTACTAATTAATGTGCATTTTCCGCACAGCAGTGACACGGACGTTGTGTATGAAGAATCTATGCAGAACCTTATTTCCTTTATTATGCAGTATCCTTCCCATACTGTCTATATTGGTGGCGACTGGAATTCTGAACCGGGACAACCCAGACATGACCTGATTGCTATTCCCATGTCTCTATATGGTGCTACCTTTTGTGTGCCGTCACAGCCTACGAGATTTGGGCGGAATAGCAGCAGGGTCTATGACTACTTTGTAGAGGTGCTAGCCACAGCTTCGTCTTGCTGCAGTGCGGACAGGAATGCAGACACGAGACCCTCGGTGATCCCTCAATCTGCTGAGTCTCTTTCGTCTGACCATGCTGCAGTGCTTTGCACATTCACTCTGCCTCCTACCGAATCCTCCCTGCATACTCCCGGTACCTCACGGCAGAGCAGAGTATTGACAAGAACGCAATGCGCAACGTGGTCGGTCAATCGCTCGAAGCTTCAGGAAAAACTTCGCAGTGGCGTCATCGAAGATGACACCCCAGGAGAGCTACAGAGACAGTGGGCCTCCTTCAAGGGACTTGCTCACCAAGTGTGCCACAGGACGCCAAGCTTGAAGTATAAGGACTCCCCGTTCCTTAAGCATCTTTGTTCTCTTCGTAGAGTTGCAGCGGATCCTCAGCACAGAACTGACCTTTCCAGGCAAATCATTGCGATCAGAAGGCATGAACGTGATCAATGGTGTCAACAAGTCCTTTTACGTGCAGCTCAGGTAGACTATGAAGCAGTGCGAGCCCACTTTCGGTACATCACCCCTAAGACGAGTCTTGATAGCGCTATCGCTGCCTACAACACAAGGGAACAATTTGTTGACGCCGTTCATCAGTACTTCTATGGAAAGCTTGGTGGCAGGCAACTCATTGAGGAGGGAAACTTACAGATTGGTTATGGGGGCAATCTCCAAGGCAGTATTTCACCCTTCCAATGCGAGGAAGTACAGACCGCAATCTCTTCAATGAAGCCTCGTAAAACTTCTGGTCCTTCAGGAGTCTCCACGGATTACATTAGAGCGGTTGCTGAGACGGAACCTGGCCTTCGGTGTATCACGAACATCCTCAACGAAATGGGGAACAAGGGTGCACTTGATGAACAGAGACTTGCACAACTTGTACTGGCTCCTAAGCGCATCAACATTGCACTTCCCAAGGACTTCAGACCCTTGACGCTTATGGAACCCATCCATAAGCTTTTTATGACACTGCTGATTAGACGCTTGCAGTCCTCCTGGGACCAGTGGCGGGAAGTGCAGACAGATGTATGCCGACTGCATGGATTGCCTATGCCAGAAGATGACAAACCAATACATGAAGGCACTTGGGGCGCGTGGCTTCCGCCTTGCAGGGTTTCTGTTCCGTGGTACTTGGGGGTTTGGTTTTGGTCTGATGATGAGCACTGTTCACTCAAGTGGCTGTCGCGAACTCATGGCTGGTGCCAACTTGGGTGGACTTGTAGTCCGGTGGAAGCAGTATCAAAATTCTTGCTGCATCTGCCATTGATGGATCATCAGATGCCGTTTGCCATCCAACTGCTATGTGCTGATGAGGAACTTTTGGGTCAACTTCAGTCATTGCACCGTGTATCCATGAGCGCCTCTTCAGTGGTGCTGCTTGAGAGGGTTCCTCCTTCGTGGCTTAGTCGGGTTTTGCGCCTTTGATTGGTTTCCTGGGTTTGGGTGTTGGGATTCTAGATTTCGTGGCCGGCTCAACACGAGCTGTGCTTCTTGACTTCGCGGCTGCAAGCACCTTGGTGAGACCGTGCGAGAGAGAGAGGGTTAAGGATTTCGGGCTTATGGCCAAGGATTTAGGGCTTTAGGGTTTAGGATTTCGGTTTTAGGGCCTAGGATTTAGGCTTTGAGGGTGTAGGGTTTCGGGCTTAGGGCTTAGGGTTCTGATTTTGAGAGCTGAGGATGTCGGGTTCAGGGCTGGCTCACGTTCTGGATTTCGGCTTGGGGTTTAGGATTTCGGGCTTTGGGGTTTGGGATTTCGGTGTTAGGGCTTAGGATCTAGGGTCTGAGTGAGGGTTTGAATTCGGTTTGGGGGTTAGAACTTAGGGTTTAAGGTTCAGGTCCTACGGGGACTCCATAAATGTGGTCCCGTAGTACGAGACCATCTGAGCTACTGTCATTATCAGGTATATGAAGGGCCCTTTAACAGTGGACATGGACGTCCCTCTCAGGAGTGTAGCATAGAAGCCCTTAACCCTAAACCCTAAAGTATGTTTGAAGACAATATTGACCGTAGATGTGGGGCCTTGGGCACTCCAGTTCTGAGGAGTTCATTTGGGAGTTTTGCAGAGTTGCCCCTGTGTAGTCTTTACGGGAGACCTCAACAATCTTCTTATGGTCCCTATACGACCCCTATTGTGAAAAAGTTAGGTGGTTAAGCTTGAGAGTTTAAGGTTAAGGGCTTGTGAGGTGTACGAACGGAGGAAGAAAGAGTCACGTTTAGGGCTTCTAGTGTTAGATAGGGTTAGTGTAAGCTGCTTTTGTATACGCTGCCCCCGTGGATGAGTTTGGCCTTGGTAGAAGCACGAAGGAATGGTTTTATCGAAGCTCACCTCAGGTAAGCAAGCAATGAACGAATGGATCCTTATGGTAATTCCCATATAATCCACAGTTATAGAAAAGTTTCCATTTGTCTTTTCCCTTCTTCCATTCCTTGCTAAAAGGCTGCTGGAAAGTGCTCAGACGCAACCCATGTGGCTTGCCCGTTGCAATTTCGTAGTGTTTGGCAATCACATTGTGTGCAAGCTCCTACTGCCCTCAGGATATAAGCCATGTCTGGTTCAAGACAAGCTCAAGCCACCAATTTGAAAGCAGTGCTGTCAATGTGTCATCTGCTTGTTATTCCACTCTGATGCATCTGTATGGTATCGACTAGACGCCTCTCGCCTTCGCAGGTGTGCGTACATTGACTCCACCCCTCCACCCTAGCTGCAAGACATTCATTGCTTGGGATGCTGGGTGGCACCGCCTTAATCGCACATGCTTTCGCTCAACCACCGCTTCAGTTGGCTTGCTGCAACATCGCAGACATCATATCATGCATGAGCTCCTAAGTTTAGGGTTTAGGGCTACTAAGCCATAGCATCATTGCAGCGATGACGGGCGTCGAGACAGCGCTGCCCGGAGAAGATCACCGCCCTGTGTTCTTTGCCATTTCTGCGAGTTTCTTTTGCTTG